ATACTATTTAATGTATTCTTGATAATTTTGAGGAGATATTTAATATCATAATTGTGTTTAAAGCTTGTGATATTTTCGCCCGGTTCATTAAATTCTGCGCAATTAGCTTTCCAAACTTTCCCTCCATGCTGCATAATCTTTTTGTTCGTCTTTTTGTACAAAGCGGTAGCTTTTCCAATGTCATCAAGAAATTGACATGTAAATCGAAATTTACGCTCACACATTCGCTCCAGTATAATTATAACTGTTCGCAATTGCCACTCCAATTTAATAGGGGCCTCTTCTGGAAAAACTTTGTCGTCGGCGTTTTGAGGATATAGACTCTGCATAGCCGCCACCAGTACCTCAGCTGACACAGATTTCCCTTCATGTTCGAGAATATATTTGAGAGCGTAAAGATTCTCTGGACGATTTATGTTCACTAACAATTCCTCTATTTGCGCATCTGCTGAAGTATGTCCTTGTTCAATTAGTTTGCGTATAAGTTTAGGGAAACTGCTTTGGTTTACAGTGCTGTTCAGCGCTGATGCATAATTTGTGGAGATTGGGTTATCAATTTCCTATAACATGAATGTAATGGTTAAGACTTAGTGATAGAGTACGTCTAATATATGATAAAGGTGTATTGTTCTGTACCTCGTAAGCCATTGCAAGAATAATCACTTAGTCGTTCACTTAACAACGGACTACAGATATAACGACTTGTGCTACTTTATTCTATTCCTATTGGCTACTGAGTATTATTATGTGGATATCACTTGCTTTGTGTGATGTAACAAGACAAGTGCTGGGTAGATTAGATTATCGTTGTGGCTTTTTTAGAATGCATTATCGTAGCATAGTCTCTAAAAAGTATAGACAAGCTAATTCACGAACAATCAAATATGGTGGTAAAAAGGGTCTCCTTAACGTACACGACAATTATACGCACGCTAATGCATAGACGCACTATACGTAAAAAGGCAACGATTGGCTATTGAAGATCAATTATAGGTGAAGCTTCTCTTATATTTTACTCCACGTTTAAATTAATATCGTTTACATCAAAATCATAATGCCACATAAAAAAATATATCGTGAACTGACGGTAGCGGGAAACATTGATTTTATACGTAGATTATACACACAAGAATATTGTTATTCTAATAATATTTATTGAAAGAAGTTGCAGTTATCAATTTATGCAATTTTTGTTTCCAATATTATATATAGGCTTATTGATCTATATAACAACGCGATGTACAAATGAGACTCACTTCTCTAAGAATTAAGAGATGCCCACCCACCCATACAATAGCTAATTGTTAAGTTTAAGCCTTTTACTTTCAATGGTTGCCTTTTTACGTATAGTGCGTTTATACATTAGCGTACGCAAAACCGGGTGCACCTATTTAACTTATACCCTTGGGGGGGTGTACACTGTTAAGGAGACTTCGTCTAAAAATACACTTCGAAATTCGTATGTTATCGCAATATCAGCATTGTAATCATTATGTACAGTACATAAACGCACGTTTTTGGCCTGTAAGTGATAACAATCGTTACAAACTTAAGCTAAAGATGCGGAACGGATAACATTTTGAGCTTTATTCAATTCTAAAATTCAAAAAAAAAAAGAGCCACATATATGACCGCACACTCCAAGAGTTAGACATTCTTGATATTATCGAGAACAAGTTCGTATTTATGCACATATTATCTTCTGACTAAAACGATTCCTTAAACTGTAATTGCCTACTATGTAAATTCGCCACAAATTGCTTTATATCACCTGATGCTATTATATTACTACCTAGAATGCAAGATAGATTAGGTCGTTGTGACTTTTTCCATGCAATGGCCAAATATGTTCTAACAAAAATTACAGTCTTAGAGAGCAAATATCAGCGTTATCCAATTCCAATATACATGCCAAGACATGCTTTGGCCTGTAACTAATAAATAGTCGTCACAAGCTCAAGTCTCGATGTGTGAAAGTTTAGAAAAAAATTGCCACTTTACGACCGCACAAACGTCGTAAGAGTTAGATACAGTCCAACATTTTCAGTATTATCGATGACAAGTTCTCTCATATTTACATACAATAATACTGACAGTAAATTGATAATTTTAAATGAAAAAGTATGACATAGAAACTAAAGGGTTTAAGGATTATCTTGTTCACTTATACAAAAGCTTGGACAATTTGGTATGCTGGCGTTAGTAGTGATAATTTATTTCCGGCAGTAACCTTGATCGACTACATGTTATTCATTCGTAAGTTTGATGTTCTCGTTCTTTAAACACCCTTACAATAAGACTTGCATTATCTAAGAAATAAGTGTAATAATCCAATACCAGTAAAAATAACTTGGCCGCAGGGATATTGAATACGCTCATCCTAAGTGGTTTGATTTCGCCGCAGACTTTTGTTCATAACCTACGTAGCATGGTATACGTTAACATTAATAAATCAATGTTTACAAAATTACATCTACGTATAGCGGTAAGCAAGTAAGCTTTTTATTTTATGAATATGAATTTCAGTATAGCGTTCATATGATTTATAGTTTTGTGCATTATTCCTATATTACATTACATTTGTCGTACTAACTTAATGACCATTAGTCAACGATAACTTTTGCAATTACAAATCATGCGTTACCATTACAAATAAATAGATACGCCTCCCATCAATTCGTAAATGCCGAGCTTCCGATTCCATTCTACCGATATCCATCTTGCAATCGATCAAAAATACTTAATGCCTGTATATTAATAGTACTAACAGTTACACTAGAAATGTAAACAAATTTATAAATAAACCGATTTCCCATCCCCCCTCTCCGGGTATAAGTATTTACGTTCTATTACTATCGATCGATCACCTTAGCTACTTTATTTAGAGAACACGTCTTTGTTTGCAGCAATTTAAGTCATCATGTTAGAGTGGCCAATGCTGAATTGTTGTAATTTAATCGCCTATTGTATATTTCATTTATGCAATATATTAAATAATTAATAAGGATCCAATTAACAAACTACTTTGTGAACTAATGGTGTTATAGTGCTACAGTACCAATCTATTACCATGCATACTGTTTGCAAGTGCAATGTCTGTAAAATAAACGTACATCTCTTTTAAAAAGCACTCTATAAACATTCTAGAGATAATCATCTGGTCGTTACTGCGAAGACTTTTATAAGGCTTTGCATACATATTCGACTTGCTATACTCCTTTCCTTAGTTCCGGCAGCACAAGATTCGCCAAGGGTCAACTTATGTTCCACCAACATTGCACCAATCTATAAGAGGAAAGATCTTTCTCCCACCGATCACCATGCCACACCCTCGTTTACATCGCTACTTCGGGGAGGGGATATAACTGAGTATTAGTATTAGTAATTAGTATATTAGTATATTAGTATATGTTTTTTGGTTTAGTAGTACAAGAAATTTATTGGTGAATATGCTTTCCTTGCAACGAAAAAGTGGCGTGTTATATGACCACCTAATCGAAAAGTGCGCATGACTGCAATGAAACAAATGAGAATTGAGCATTATGCCAGATTAAAAGATCAGGCCATATAAACATGCCACTTTTCGATCAGGCAATATAAACATGATCGTTTGACCATAGATAGAATAGCATAATATTTATGTAACACGATTAACATATATGGTAAGGTAAATTTACTGAGGGGTAAGTATGATCATATGTTTCTAGAAGATGGCTTGTGAATTTTGGGGATACAACTGGGGGAAATTTATACTGCGTATAATCCAAAGCTGGGATATATCCCGAGGTAAATAAGAGGGGGGGTTACTGTACTACTTACCTTTATGCGAGTGTGTTGCACAACAATCTATGAATAACGAAATTTCTCAATGACGAGCGCATGATAGTCTAGCCAGTCTTTGCTATACTCACAATAACAGTAAAATAAACGTATCTCCAATCACGGATACCACAATAGCGACGATGCTGCGAGAATATTCAGACACATTTTCTATTGTATATAACATTATTTCTACCATACAACAAATTCATCACCAGTATAAATGCGATCATGTAAAAAAGTCAGCAAGTAAGTTTCCTAATGTACATTTAAATGCACGCAGTCATAAAACTTTTTGATGGAAAACAAACAGAGAAATTGTAGTGATACACCAATCAAAACGTCTAAAAGAAACCAGACTTCCTTATAAATGTTTATGTAACACAGTGTACGAAATCATAAAAGTTAGTTATTAAACCAAAGTCTCTAAAAATTCAAATGCACGCAATCTCCGATTCAATAATGAAACATTGTACAAATTCATGTGAATGTCTCGCAATATTTAAGCAAACTTTTTACAGTTTGTCCTGCTTTTTCTTTTATTAGCGGGCCAAATGCTCAAAGCGATTACTTTTACTCCGTTTTCTTCAATCGTATGATCTTGATTGTGTAACAATTTTTATAAATCTGTCTCCCGATAATGACTATTTCAGATTTACTAATCTGCCGATCACAAACCGAATATAGTCCAGCAGCGATACTCTAGTGATAAAAATAACGCTGAAAAAGACATTGCTGGTATTATATTTAGCACCAGATCACTCGAACTTTCCAAAGTCAAATGATACGTCAAAGGGCTGGTGCCAAGTAATATAATACGTCTGTGATTGTGTCATTATTATCTATCTGGTCAGAGTTATTGTTGATATGTATGCAGTGTCACATTATAGTTATTTTGATCTTTACTTTGACGGGTTAGTATATGCAGTATAATATAAGTTCTAAATTTATCAGGGACTATGTGTTATCATTTCTAAATATAAGCCAACTAAACTGCGGTTTACAACAGAATATATATAGATAGAATGAAACACTCCATATTGACGAATCCATACTGTACATAAATACATATATAGACGGTTTAAACTGTCATTTCGACGGTCTGGTTTATTATCGTGTCCATTACACCACTAAACGTAGGCAACAAACTTGACAAACTACTCCTTTGCTTAATCAGCACAATGGGGCATAAGCTGCTTTCATGGTTTATATTTGCCTCAGTTTTCACAGTAGCCTACGTTGTTGATGCACAATGGAGTGTCACCGGCATGTGAGTATACGATGGAGATATTGGGTGTAGGAAGAGGAAGAGAACGATCGAAAATGGATGATTAACTCTTTCTGATACAGGACGGGAGTCACTTCTATGCACGCAATGATGGTAACACCGACGACGATAATAATCATCGACAAAGGTAATGATGATGAATGAATTTATTTGTAAACGTTTTTATTTTCTTTTTTTTGTCTAACTATATCCCGAATCACCTTGAATTCCTAACAGCCGAAAACAACCCAGCCGCGGTATTACCTGATGGTACAACAACTTGGGCAGCCGAATATAATCTCGCAACTAATAAATTCCGACCGCTCAAATTATCCACAAACACTTTTTGCTCGGCCGGAGCATTCTTTGGCAATGGTACATTCCTATCGACTGCCGGTGGTGAACCAAGCAAGGTTGTTACTGCATCCGATGGTTACCGTGGCATTCGTTATTTTCAACCATGTCAAGATGGCACCTGCCAGATCGTCGAAACTCCTAGTTTGCTGAGCAGTGCTCGATGGTATAATGCCATGGTTACTATGCCAACCGGTGATATTCTCAACTTTGGTGGTTCTACCCAGTCAACTGGTGCCAACTCTGCAAACAAGAATAACCCGACTTTTGAGATACATAGTCCCAATGGAAATAACAAAGCATCCCCAATTCAGTTTTTAGTCGACACGTAAGTGCATTTATACATATTTGTGTATGGAATAAATGTTTTAATTATCTGCATTTTTCTTAAAAAAAATCGTTTATTTTTTCTGAACAGCCTCCCGTACAACCTTTACCCATTCATCCATGTAATTCCAAACGGCTTATGGCAAGGCTACTATTTCATTTTCGCAAATAAAGCTTCAGTCATATACGACATTACAAAGAACGTAGCAGTAAAAGCACTTCCTGAAGCACCTGGTGGTATTCGCTCATACCCGTGCACTGGTGCAGCGACCCTGCTTCCGCTCGATTACCTAGACAATTACAATCCCCAATTCCTTGTCTGCGGAGGACAAAGCATTTTCAACCAGTTCACCAACCCTGCCGAGAATACGTGCGCTAGAACAAACCTTGGTTCTCCAAACCCAACATGGGAAGCTGACGATTTTGGAGGCATACCCAGAGTCATGCCTGATGTCGTTCATCTTGCGGATGGGTATAATGTGTTGTTCTTGAATGGAGCATCTCTTGGACAAGCTGGATATATTACCGGTGGAGGCACGCTCCTGGCTAGTAAACCTGCATTCACGCCAGTTCTTTACAGCATGAATAAGCCTCTGGGACAACGATGGACTCAGCTTACCGCAACTACTATTCCTAGAATGTATCATTCGGTTGCCAGTTTGATTCCTGATGGCTCTGTCTGGGTGTCTGGAAGTAATCCCAATGAGAACTACAATACTGGTGGGGCATTCCCGACTGAGTAAGTAATTTTTAGTGTGCTACAGAAACAAGGAAATCTTTTTTGTCGTTATGTACCCCATACCGAATGCAACACTACTTACTAAATACACTAATTTGTCCATTAGATTTCGTGTTGAAATATTCACTCCACCATATCTTTCGGGTAACGCACGTCCACAGATAACTGCGTTTAAGAACCAAACAAGTCTCAATGTATCTCCCATAAAAGTGTCTTACAACGAGGCCGTTCCTATAACCTATACTCTTACCGGAACTCCTGGCACAATCACAGCTACTATAGTACAACCTGGTTTTCACACTCACTCCCAAGCAATGTCGATGAGACTCGTTCATCTCCAGATAACTAACATTGCATCGTCTGGACAAAATACTTTTACTGCCAACATATATATGCCTCCTAATAGTTTCATCTTACCGCCTGGACCACATTACGTCTTTATTCTGAATAATGGTACCCCATGTACAAAGGCTGTATGGGTTCTTATCGGATAAGTAAAGGAAGGAACATAGTAATGTATTATATTCATGTTGTTACTTAATTTGACGCTACATCTTTATCACATTGATAATCATAATGCACGTTCGCTGTATTCTATTGATACACAAACATTATAAATAATATAAATAAAGATTAATATCTGATCGGGTATATCGTGTGGTACTGTGTTGAATTTAGATTGGTTATTAAGAATTAGTTTACCCGTCCCGTCATGTGTACATTCTGCAAAGCTTATTATTATCTAACCTGTGGCATTATAGTGTCAACTGCGTCGACTGGAACGTATCGGCATTTGTGTTATTATTAAATTTGATTTTAAAAAAAAAAAAAAGTTAAATCTGTTGAAGCCTTTCATACGCGTTATTAATTACACCAGAAATTTTGTGCATGCGCTGATATTGAGACTTTACCAAAAAAAGCAATACAAGCCTGGACACACAATGATGTAATTTGAGACCCTGAGTCTTGTGTATCGTCAAAACAAATGAGCATCCCCGATGCATAGAAATGCGGGGTGGTTTTTTGGGGAAGGCAATCACAATGGTTGACGATCAAATCGTCGGCAGTACATTAAATGATTGTCGACAGTCGTTACACCTGACAATTATTTCGCCAATAGAGAGACTACATACAGTCGATATTTCTTTCCTAAATGTGTGCTATTCCGTTGCGTAATGAATTATCTACATCGTACTTAACTACTCGTACAATATCGTCACTCGAAAAATTTATTCATTCGACCTTGAACAACCATGTCCGTCGTTCCAAATGCTTCCACTGGCAAACGATTACTAAATTACATATGCTTTGGCTTGTGAGTTGTTTGATGCACTAACATTGAAATGAGCCCGTAAAATTCGTGTTGCACCGCACCGAGAATCAATTGCAGCGCCCGCTCTCCCCTACCTCCTAAGGTTCGCATAGTATCAACATTGTATGACAGTTTTGTGCATATACTTCATTGTGCTATTCTGTTATTCGAATGGAGGTGTAGGATTCATCACATTTTGGATCAATGCTCATATTCTTGTATCGAATAATATTAACCAAAGCGTGTACAAGTAATATCATGTAATTATATAGTAGCAAGTTAATATTATTAATATTATATCATTGTTATCTCGTTCCTGTATGTATTACTCGTACAGGATAATGGCAGATCGGTTTCATAGCATCTAAACAATTTGTTGGAAAAGATGCAAACGGTCTGAAATGGTTCTGGTCTCTGATTCCAAATCTCTCCCGAAAACTGTACTCATATAATATCTTAATAAAAGAGAGATACGGACAGTCAGAGGTAGATTACTTTGATCAGATGATATTTTAGGAGATTCAGCACCGGATAATAAGCAAGCTTCTATCGAAGAAAATGAGTGTTCTGAGATTGATCCTATTGATGTTATCTTCTTTGAAATTTGATATGTGGCCCATAATTTATAAGAGTTGGCAATTATTAGTCAATGATTAAAAATAAGGTTAAGATAGTAAACATGTGATTTTCTCTCATCGAATTTATAAAGTTAAAATAAAACAAGCAGCTTTATATACTGTATCACAGTATGTACAGCACATATTCTTTCGTCGCAAATAATCATCTTATCCCAATCGCATACACCTAACAAGATATTATTTTATTTATTAACAAAATAAAACATTACCACTGGCATATAATGAGCATCGCTGCAAAAAGATTTTGTGCTCTCTCTTTCTATCAAAAATCGATCAGAAATACACCAAACAAGTAATGTCCTAATATAACAAAAAATTTAAACACACTATCCATAGAGAAAGTCACGACTTATCACAAATTATATTTCGCTCGAATACGATCTTCGCATGTCAAAATTCTTCCCGCAAATTCAACTCATGGATCATCCCGAAAAGATTTTATAACTATGTCATGTCGTAGGAAAAAAATGCTAAATGAATGATTCCACAACACCACACTAACAAAAACAAACACCAACAAGAATTTACTGCTGATATATATTACTAACTAATGTTTACAATCGACTATTTATTTACACACCTTCACCTCTATAGAAAACCACTCATCCGTCATTACTATCATTGATATATAACTGTGAAAACGAAGAGGCGAAGCCTCTTAAGTACTTATTACTCTAGTTATCAGAAGAATTTCGGCAATTTCGTGATGAGTTATTGATGAGACAGACAACAGAATTGAAGGCAGACATAAGTAGCATTAGAGACGTAGTGGAGAAATCGGCAGAATCAGGAAACAGCGAGAAGAATTTAATTACTTGTCGGATACATTGCTTGCATGATAATAAGGAAATAAATTAATCACGTTTTGCGAGTGTCTATGCTCATTAGTACTAACATTAACTCTTTGTAACTTGGGTTGTATTAGAAGACACTTAAACAGCAATGTATGAAAACATTTGTCAATGATAAATATCCATCCGAAACTAAAATCACACGCACGTGGATTCTGCTGCATATCCCGATTCGTCTACATTCAAAGTGGGCTGTTTGATGGGTTCTAAGTAAGTTACACAATGATGTTGCCGAATCAGGCTAAATAAACTTCCACAGAAATATCAGAGGAATGCGGTAGACGGAATAAAAAAAGCGATCTTGCAAGTGTTCAAATCCAAGCTTCTTCCCCTCCCGGAGAAAGCTTTCCTATCGGATATGGCTGCTGTAAGTACAATATATTAACCGTTTAATGAATTTTGTATCACATTTTGACACTACTTTTTCCGATGCACTAGTGAAGCAGAGTGATGGGGTTCAATGGTGTCTTTATCCTCTCAATAATCCATCAAGCAACGAGGAAGAAGAGGAAACCTATCTGAATAATATCGTCATAAGCGCATTTGGAAAAGAACCAAGAGGAGGGATGGGAGAGACCAATATCGAGATTACTTACGCCGTGTGCAGAATTTGCCTAGATCCGACTTACATATTACAGTGGCATGGATGTATGTGAGGAAATCGTGACAGATATTATGAATGCTATGGAAAATAAGAAGGTAAGTTTTACTCTTTTCTGTTACATTAATGACTTTTGGCTCATATTCTAATTCTGTTGATGCAGTCAGTAGACTTTGAGCAAGAAGTGGATATGAAATTTTTGAACGTGATAAGGTGACTGAGTGGAGACATTTAAATTTACAACTCATATACATTAAATACTGATATCAAAAACGCCGGGTTGTAGTTTTCAGAGAATGATTGGATGTTACACTTGCATGATTGCAGCTTGTACTATAATCTGAGTGTTAACGTCATTATTCAAAAACCGATAGTTGATACGTAAGATTTATCCAGGAGTATCATTAAATCAGACAATAAATAAGAACCATGTTGTTTGGGATATCCATCTAGCGCTTAATACAGTTATCCCTCGTTTATAACCCCCCCTATTGTAACCCACCCTCGGATATATCCCAGCTTTGGGGCTGGACCGATTTCCTCT